AGAGAGAGAGAGAGAGAGAGAGAGAGAGAGAGAGAGAGAGAGAGAACAATACTATAAAACACAAAACTTTGTTTTGAATGCAGGCATTAAAACAAAAGTAGACAGATTACCGAGTATTAAATAAATCATTGAATGAATTGGTATATACATACAATATTTGAGTTTACAGACATAAGGTTAATTAATTAAAATTATCTTTCTCCATTGTTATTTTTGCATAAATAAATGCTTGGATAAAACGAGAATTAATCAGTTAACGATACGGTTTTCGGTTTAGCCATTGGTAAATAAATATTACAGCACAAATACAGTTTAACGAATACGATTTTTGCGAAATTGCATATGAATCATAGACGAACTTTTCGTACAGTTTGCAGACTAATATAACCTGTTAAAGTAACAAAAACCATTGAAATTATTAAAGCGCCAAATTCATCAGTACGATCCAATTTCCAACACGTGAGGAAATTACATAGGTTATGAATATTATTACGACTTCGAATTATCGATCAGATTTCTGTTCTAATTAACGGTTTCAAGAACTTCTCAGCATTATTCAGACTTGGTTGTCACTTTATATCTCGTCTATAATGTTTGATCGTTTCACCATTATTATGTCGATATAACGACATAATTCTAGCGATTAATACTTTGTGTTCGCTATACTGTCAGATATTTTATTATAACACAATTTTAATAGTGTAGTTTAATAAACAATTTAGCGGTATATTACGGCTAAAATTATACATGTATAATGTATATCATGCGAGCCTATTCATTTTCATTTCTGTTTCATAATTTCTAATAGAAGCTAAGTGAACAAATTTGCTGCGCCTATTCGTCTATAAATAATTGTAGAGTACGAGAATCGTCGTTGCGCCGAGATTGTAGACATACATCACGGGGTTATATAGCATTAAACAAAGACATGAAGTATTCCAGCTGCGGCGAATCTACTGCACTCGTAAATTTCTTGGGGCTAGGAAAAGGGAGAGTATAAAGTTTTATCGTCCAATCTTACGAGCAACAGGGCGTTAGGAGCAGTGATAGTTAGCAATACGCACAGCGCTCGGTAACTCAAGATTTCTGCATTTAGATTGTAGAAACCGACATATTTTTGTCAGCCTTTTCTTAACTATATGGATTTATGATGAAAACACTTATAGTTACTGCAATTCTCTTTTTACTTGATATAAATAAATATGAAATGTAATATTTGATTAATAAGTTAATATAATACTTATATTTGAAAATCGAAAAACTAGAGGTATGTAAAAATAGATATTATATCGTATTTTCACTGAAAATGGCTTGAAGACGAACTGAAACGTCTGGATTGTCATATATTTTTTAAATTAAAATAAAAATAGTTTTGTAACTCCATAAAGAAAGCAAATAAATAAATAATCTATAGGATCTTCGCGATTTATTAGTGTGAAAATAATATATTTTTAAGAAAATAGCTATTATTTAATATTATTAAGTAGTTACATTTTACAAACAATTGGAGTTTACTTGAGTCAATGAAGTTAACTGCAAACGTTTTGACTCTGGAGTCTGGATCTGAATCATCAAGTGCAAACATGTACGCATTGTAATTGTTTGTGAATTATATCTTATCGCCTTATAAATATATTATTTAAGCACATATATTCATATGGACAATTTACTTATATTTAATATATATTTTTAAATAAACATGAACTCTCTCTCTCTCTCTTCTCTCTCTCTCTCTCTCAATTTTGTGCCCTAACTACACTTGAGTCTTATTTGTCCTTTACATTCTTTGCTTGACCTTAAAAGCAATTAATTTAAATATTGATTATATTATTATTATATGTATATAGTATGTATATAAATGAATATTTAATTGCCTCAGGTTTCGTGGGTGAGACATCGTGACATTCACTTGCTGACAGTCGGCACTTACACTTATACGAGCGATCAACGTTTCGAGGCAATGCATAAATTCCATACAGAAGAATGGATTCTTAGAATACGATATCCGCAGCGAAAGGATTCTGGTATCTACGAGTGCCAAATATCCACGACTCCACCCATCGGTCATCCTGTTCGTCTGACTATAGTTGGTGAGTCGTAATTGCTGTATAGTCATAACGAGCGATAATTCTAGCTTTAATAGAGATGCATGAGAATTTGCATCGTAATTCAGCCGTTATCCGTTCTACCTTGGTAAATACAGCGATTCATTCATTGCTAAAGTACATTTTGAATTATGTTTCGTTTACATAAAGTTGCCAGTCGTGTTAAATATTCTGTTAATCATTTTTTTTATAATGAACGTTGACTAAATATTGACTATATCAGACAGTAAAATTTAACAGTAGATAAAAAATTCTAAGAATAAAAAAGAAAGATATTATACAATATATTAAATTATCTGAGATTTTTCTCTTCTTTTTCACTTGCGAAGAAAATCCGTTTTAATTTACTTTAAATAATTTAAGCAATCGATATTCTCTAATTCTCGTCAAACGACTAAAATATCTTTAAAATAATTTGGAATATCTAATTATACGACTAGAAATGTCTTTATTATATAACTTGAAATAGATTTAGAAAGAGAAGATTGAAATTGTGATCTAGAAATTAAATTACGTAATGAATGCTTATATTATTGATAAAGATTTAACCGCGAATAGTCATTTAAACGTCACGATTCAATCGGAAATTCACGTTCAATTCTACGTAAAAATCTTACGATTTACTACAGTATTCATCGAATACATCACGACGATCGCCACGAGTTTTCGAGAGCCAACTACGTTTGAATAATTTAAAGAACGTGTAAGTTGGGAAAAATTCAAGGAAAAAACGTGGAATGTTCTCATAACTTTTCCCTTAAAACTTCGCTGGTCATTTTAAGTATTGAGTAGAAGTAAGAAACCCTTTGCAAAAGTTACAAGCTAGTGGGCCTCGTGGGAATCGCCAGACGATCGAAAGAATCATAAATCAATGCGAGGAAGTTACTTCGAGGAAATATTATTAGCGACGCGTGTAGCAGACGAACATTGTCCTCAAGTTTATAAGATCGAGAAATCGCACATGCGTGACATAAAAAATGAAATTATCTCAATTTGCAAAAAAATCAAGGAATGCACGAAATATTTTTTTAATAAGATATACAAAAGGAATGTACTTACAATATACAACGTAAATTAATTTCTTGAATAAAATCTTTAGAAAATTCAAAAATATTAAAATTTACATCCTTTAAACAGTTTAACAAGTTTTATTTTATATTCTTTACTTGAAATGTATAATATATGATCTATATACATACAAGTGAAGAAGTACCAGCAGAAAGTACCATCATTGATCCGAATCAACGGAGATCAAGATTCGCGTCTCGCACAAACAAATCGAACAACGAATGTTTCTTCCGTGACGTCTATATCTTCTCGATAAGTATCGACAAATCTTCTGAAATTTTCGGTCAACAGAGTATCCTTTCTTCGATTCATCAAATCTCGAGTTAGAGAAAGCTTATCGCAATTGGTCTTCGAGGGTGAAGGTTAATATTGTTAAAGGATGGTCATTTCGCGAACACGAATTACGAACGTGGCCAATTATCGCGAAGCTAATGAAGCCTTTTCTTGAAGGAAAGAGGGGCCTAAGAAAGAAAAATCGACAGCTACTCTACCAAGCTCGCGCTTTTTCTTGTTTTTGTACTATCCATCACACTGTCCCATTCTCTTCGTCTTACCTTTAGTTTCTTCTCTCTTTCTCTAACAATCCAGATCTGTCATTTTTTTGTTTCATTAAATTCCATACGTCTCCCAATTTCTCTCTGAAAGAAAATGTTTCTAATTTTTTCTGATTTCTCTTCGGTGGTATTTTATCATTTAATGTAGCGCGATAATGCTGATTTCACTCACAATCAGAGCATCAGAATTAAAAGTATAATAGTTAAACAAAAATACATATATATTTTTACATCTATTTTAATAACAATATTAATTTAAATGATTCTCGGGTAAACTAAAATGATTTTGTAAAATCTCTCATCTTTGCTTATAATAAAAGGGAAATTTCCTGAATTTTCTCTTTGAAAAGGTATTAATTTTACAATTTTAGTCGTCGTTTCCATTAGTTTTGAGAGAAAGGTGCTTAAAGATAATTTCAAGGTAGCCAGAGGTGAATGATTACCCAATTACCCACACTTGTTCTCACTGCGTAAATGCATAGGTGTTGGGTGCGCAGAACAGGTATATGTAATATATAATAGCGACAGGATAATCTGAAGTAACCCTATAAATTACGTCCAAGCAATTGATCGACGTAACGGTAAAGCTTCCTCTCCATCTTCGTCCATTTAATAAAGACGCTGAAAGTAACGCGAAGCGGATCGAAAAACAATAGTCGACCTTTCAGCGGCATTCTTGGCACGCGATGCCCGTGAAATTGTGACGACAAATTGAGCCTTCTCAGGAGCGAAAGATTTTTCTTCAGGGTTGCGCCCTTTCGTCGTTTCGCTTTCAACCATGATCCGCATCGATTGCCTGAAAAGAGAAAGATCTTGCCCTCCATTTTCACGAAACTTAAACATTTCTTCGTCTTTCTTTCTCTATTCGTTTCCGGACCACGTCATTACTTTCCGCTATCGCGATTCATGCCGCCGAGGGCTTACATCGTTTGATTCGATTTTTGACTGGTTCGATATTTATCGTGAGAAGTGACGTGTAAAAATCGTTGAAATCGACGAATGCGACGGAAAATTCTAGGAAATTTTAAAGCAATACTACTTAAACACAGTCAAAATTGTATTATTTCTCATAAGACAATAGATTGTAATGCCGCGAATTTATTTCATCAATTTACAGAGATATTATTCTTTTATTATTACAACAAAATTTTTACTTTACTATAAAAAAAAAAAATAGGAGAGAATATTTTGTTATCTGTGTTTAAAACATTATTTCCTTGTTTTCAAAAACCTATTAAAAATCGATATTTAAAATTTAAAGGATACACTGCTTTTTCGATTGGTAATACCAGTTCCTTTCAATGTTTGTTATTCTATTTAAAAGGTATTATTTCCTTTAAAATTGTTTTTTTTAGAGATATATTGAAAATTGATATTAAAAAATTTAAACGATACTGTTTTTTTATTGGTATGTATATACCATTTATATTGGTATGTATATACCAATAAAAAAACAGTGTATCGTTTAAATTTAAATATATATATATATATATACATATTAAAAGCTGTAAATGTAAGCTGGAATCGCTTTAATCAGACGAGGGCAAAACAACACTTACTTTTTTTTTGATGATCTCTTTAACCATCGCTATATCATTACTTCTGTTATCGTTGACGATCGGTACGCTGCAGAAATTCTGTCATTTGCCTATACACAGGTAGAAAATGATTCGTTATGAATGCGAGTATTATGCCATTTGCTGACGTTATGGTCAAAAAGTTATTGTGGCTACCTTTTTCGCGGTAATATTTCTTTTATCTCGAGTTCGTTCGCTGGTATCTTTATTTTTCTCTATCTTGCGCTTTATTTCATCTAGGAAAGCAATAAAGGACGTGAAAGTTTTATCTTTTCATTTGCTTCTTTCCTTTTCTTTTTCTCTCTCCTTTTTTCCAGATCTGCCGACGTTTGATAACCAAACACATACGTCCCAAAACGAAGTACCACTAGTTAGAAGCGGCGCTCTCATTAAAACAGCTTAAATAATTTGTCAGATCGATAAATGAGTTTACATCCAGATCCGGTCTAGTTCTCATTAAGTCGTTGTTGAATATCTGGATCAAACGGATCGCGATGTTCATTTCACGAAAGAGCCAAAGAAGAGAAACGAGTATCGCTCCGTTCGCAATTTGTTCTCGTTACCTCGATTGAACAGTCGTCAACCTACGGCGAGTTCCACCGACAGACCGATGAATCATTTGCATCGAAAACCATCGCGACGTTTGTCTATCGTCGACACATTTGGGCCAGTAACGCGATCGTTTCCATCCTCTTTTGCTTTGGTATTCTCAATCGTTCGTAATCGATGCGATTCGTATCATACGATTTGAGTCAACTGAACGTCAAGCGAATCATCATTTGCGTATTACGATCTACTATTCTTGTAAAATGAGATTTCCGTTTCGTGTGTGTGAGGTTTTGTAATTAAATTTATTCTACATGTATTTTTCCTGCCCCACAGCATTTTTACAAAAGTCACTCACTGTATTGTAAAGTCTTGCGTTTAATTCTTTTTCCCCCATTGTGGAGTCTGAATTTAATTAAAGATACTGTGTTTTGCAATAAAAGAGTTCAACTACCGCGCGTTTTTTAGTTTCCGTTTGCTCTAGAAATAAAAATAACTCAAATGATTAGAGACGAAGAATACGTGAGAAGAAATGCGAGACAAAATCAATTGCGGTTAAATGCGGAAACGAAATAACGTTGAGAGATATTCCTCAAAATTCCCACAATTTCGAAAGCAAAATTTCGAAAATTCCACAAAACAATTCTTCGTGAACGATATATCGGACGTTGTCCTCGATTTCAACTGTTATCAAAGTTTCGACGTTGCGTCCTTTCTCCCTTGGCACCGGTAAAGCAATATAGCCTTTTCACTCGTGAATCAATTTCGCAGCCGTCACGTACTCGGTCAAGTCGTTTCTCATTGACGTTAGCTGTAGTAAAAGAAAAAGGAATCTCGAAAGGAAGTGAAGGAAAAGAGGCATCGCGAGACGGGTGGGCAGTTCGTAGTTTCCGTTTGTCGCAAACGTGCGTGGAAAGTTAAACTATGCACATGCAGCATAACGAATTTACGTTACCTCTAGCGCAGCGTGCGGAAGTTCTTAACCATTACCGAGTAGCCCGGCTAGTCGGAACATTAGGCAGCTAATTAGCGTTCACTAATTAGTTCTAACACGAATGCCTAAATTAATGTCCCATCGGCCGAAGTCGCGCTTAATAGTGCACAACATGATGATATCACACAGAAATAGAAAGATTATTATTACATATATCGGGGTTTTTCAACTGACGTGTTGCGGCGAAACGGTCGCAAAGGGTTTTTAAGTGCACTAAATTGGCAATTGTAGAGAAAATAATAAGAA